GTCACCACTGACAAGCTACTACTAAATATATTGTAGAAACTTGTAGAAAATTAATTTTCTGTGAAGCTGCTTTACAACGATTTGTATCGTAAAAAGCGTTATACAAATAAATAAATAGATAAAAGTTTCTTTGTAAAATAATTTTTAATGTGTATTTACGAAGAAAAACTGAGAATTGCTAAACTCCAATATCCAGCCAATTTGCTAAACCCACAGCCAAATTTTCAGTCTTTTCAAACATCATTTCAGCCATTTATTCAGTGTTTTTGGGCAGCCACATAAGTATAGCTCACATGGGACAAGTCTCTCAGGCACAAACAGTCCGATCAGGCCTCTGGAGAACATAAGAGTCAAGTGAAAACACAAGGTCAACACAGCAGTCAGTGGACGTCCGAGTGCGATGCGAACCAGGGGTCATTTCTATAATCAACTCTTTCTGCTGCTAGCAGAGACACACAGCTGAAATCCCAGCAGCGGCTGAAGTCTAGAGGACCAACAGCTGCTGGAAAGTTTGTGACTCAGCTGTGACTCGAGAGCGGACGTTTGCCCGGCTTACTCACTCCCATTTCACTCTTTCATATGCCAAACACGAACACGCCAGTGATGGGCGAGGTCTGTGGGTACGAGGGCAGCTGGGAGTCTCCTTCCAGACTCCAAACACACAGCATGTCCTCACCTCTATTGTTAGATGTCACCCAAGCCCTGCAGCCACAGACGCAACAGACCACATCACTAATATCTGCGCTAACCGCCACTGTTTGTGTTTGTCGTGTGCGCTTATGGGTGGGTGCAAGTCAGCGGCTTAAAGGTGCACTAAATAGTTTTTTCATATAAAGAAATAAACAAGTATCAAGGACAACTAATGTCCCTCATATAAAATTCTGAATAAATTAATCAAGGATGGCAAATATGCATGCAAATATGGTGCATCTACAATAGCATGAGTAACTGAAAGTCGCCAAAAGAAAAAAAAACAATATTACAATCTTACAAATTAATGCATTTTGTCTGGAAAACAACTGACTGTTCATTATGCATTAACTAATTATTCAAATTACTATACATTTATATATTTATGCATTACATATATGTGACCCTGGAGCACAAAAGCAGTGTTAAGTCGCTGGGGTATATTTGTAGCAATAGCCAACAATACATTGTATGGGTCAAAATTATAGATTTTTATTTTATGCCAAAAATCATTAGGATATTAAGTAAAGATCATGTTCCATGAAGATATTTTGTAAATGTCCTACCGTAAATATATCAAAACTTAATTTTTGATTAGTAATATGCATTGCTAAAAACTTCATTTGAACAACTTTAAAGATGATTTTCTCAATATTTAGATTTTTTTGCACCCTCAGATTCCAGATTTTCAAATAGTTGTATCTCGCCATTTATGCTTAAATCGAGAGAAGCAGAAATCGTAATCATGATTAATATACGATTCATCGTGCAGATGGATTATGCAGGTCAGAAATAACATGCACAGTTTGAATGGGAAACGCACAGACTTGTGACTGTAGTAGTGAACTGGAGTAAAATCTAATAAGAGCATTAGCAGTCAGAGCACAGGGGTCTCGATTTATAAACACACTATACTGAAAGAAGCACTTGTGCAGAATTCACTTTGAACAGTTCGAAGCAGCCGAAGCGCCACAGGCTTGTTGAAGCATCCGTGTTCAGTTCATCATATGATCTGCAGCACAGCGCTCATATGTCAGCGGAGCAGAGGAAGAGCGTCTGGCTGCATACAGACTTCAGGCTCTCTGCTCCACATAATATCCGCATTGTGCCGCCACAGATAGAGGCTGCTGTGTAGCGCCACTCTATTGATAGAGCTCTCTTTAAAGTCAACTGTGCCTTCACTACACTCCCTCCAGGGTTCAGAGTCATCGCTCATAATGGCCACGGGATATATGCTGTGCTAGCTGGCTTTCGCTCGGAGTGCGGGAGTGCCTTTCTTCGGTTATCTGAGCCGAACGTTATGCATGGATTCATTGGCTCTGAACTGGGTTAGGCAGAGTCACATGAGGTCAGGCACGGAGAGGGTGATGAATCTTTCACACATGCATTAAAAAGCAGCAAGAAATGCTTACATTTGGGATTAAAAGCTTCCTATCAATCTGGACATCAATGGTGTCCTATAAATAATCAACTTTGTGCCATTATGCTCAGGTTTATGTTATTTGGTTATTGGTTTGGTCCGAGTCAAATGAGCTATGAACAGACGAACAAAAATGAGCATGTGGTATAATCAGTGTATTAGCCTGACATTTGAAATAAATCCAATTTTTTTTTTTATGGAACCTTTAAACAAAGTATAAAAAAAGTTTGCATGTGTTTTATGCTTTGTACCATATTTGATCCATCAGGCTTTTATGCTCATACTGTTTGATAAAGTGAGAATATGGAGGGAAAAACAGTTCAATTTTATTCAGACACTCAAACTGAGCAGATGCTGATATTTATATGCTGTAATTCTGATGCTTGTAATGTAAATCAATGAGATCTTTCTAACAGTACAGCAGATACTGACTCAAAATGATCTAAATATCAGTCGTCTCTATATCTCCAGTAACATGTCTCAGTGAGATGAGAGTGAAATGCTCCAAACATATAATGCAGTTTTATTGAGAGCTGAAGAAATAAAGGCTCCTCAGAAGATGTGAGATGTTCTGGAGGCTTGTGAAGATCATTCCTCCGCTGAGGAACAGTGAAAGTAAAGCTTCTGGAAACAAACGCTCCTCAAAAGATCCTGAGGATCAGATTTGAGACTCTAAAACATGATTGATGGAGAATCAAGTAAAGCTGAGCTGCTTCAGTCCAGTAAGTGTTCATCTGGAGATATTACTGCAGTTATTCTGACGCTTACTTGATCAAAATCAGTCAAGATTTGACGCTGAAGCTGGACGTTTGTACAATTACACTAAAAGAGCTTTGACTTAAACTATCAATCAGAGACAGAAGACATGGAGGAGATCGTGTGCAACAGGTTTAACAGCAAAGCTTACATCATGTTGATCATTTAGAAATGTGTGTATCAAATATGATACAGTAGCTTTAAAGGGTTATTATTAAGTTTATAACAGGAGAGGAAACCAACATTTCAAGAAGGACTTTGGTGCATAGAAAAATGAAAAATGCAGGATTGCACACGCTGCGTCTCTAAAGTCTGACTGCTGTGATGTAAACTCAGGAACTAAGAAGAAAAGAACGAGAGTCTCAGAAATATCCTGACTGGAGAAAGAAACCCAGGAAGCTCATTCTACGGTACATTCGAAGCCCTTCCCTGACATTCCCTTCCAGAGTCTACAAATACAAATGCAAACCTTAGGCAAAATACACAAACGCAGACTTGAATGCTTGACCGATGCACTGCAGTTGCATTATTGCCCATGCTTCACACTGCTAATGCGATACTACAGCAGTACATCAGTCTTTAAGGGGGTCACACAGTCAAACGTCTGTGCCATTAAACCAGATGTGTTACTCTTCAGATGCATATAAACATGTTTATATAATCTAACCTGCTCAGCAAGATTCTCTTCAAACTTTTTGGCAAAGAAACCTGACTGTTCATCAGGCCTTTGCTCAAGATAATCACGGTTTTAGGGTTAATATCAATAGCAGTCCAATATCACAGATGATTATGCATAATTAACATTGAGAATGCAATGCATTTGTGCTGCATCATGAATTGCACTCTGACACAATTGCTCGGCGAGTCAATGTTGTGAATATTGACAAACTCTTATGATGTATGCAGTATCCTACAGTGTGCCATAAAAGACCTCTGGCGATGAGAGGAAAAACAATCTGATGTTCTGCACGACAGAAGAGTTTGAGGTCATATATCAGGATTAAGGCACTTAAGAGATGTTCTCGCACAAAGGTGAAACTTGTTTGACAGCAAAGCGCTAAGTTGCTCAAGCTGTAATCAGTTTGTCACATTAACAAATAATCTGGTTTTAGCATGCACACAGAGACACAGGATTACAGTAACAGGCCCATGATTTTAAACATCTCACGAACGTCCAGCGGAAAGCTCCGTGCCATACAATGAATAACAAGACAGCAATAACATCAAGCTGAACAGAGGTGCAATTATTGCAATTAGTGCAATGCAAAAAAAACAGACAGAATCGAGGAATCTAGTCATAAAAATGGACTTTAGAGTGCGGACTTCACCATTTCATTTGAGAAAACTATCGGCAGATACACAAAGAAACGTAAAATTTAACTGGTATCTAATAAAAGCTTATTTATTAGAATACAAGATGACATGGGTCAAAAACAATGATAACAACAACTATTTTTTTTAACGCTAATCCTTAGCGTTGAGCCCTAATGACAAGAAAACATGTATTTCTTGAGTTGTTCTACTTGCAGCACGACCAGTGTGATCTGATTTACAGGCAAATCTTTCTTTTAAAGCGGTAATTCCCAAACCTTTTTGAAAGCCGAACCCCTTTGAGACAAAATATTTACTTTAAGTGCCCCCTAAAATTTCAACTTAATATTTCAATAATTTAACAACTAATTGCATGCTCACAGTTCTCTAATATTGGTTAATGGTCACATGACATGCAGGTAAACAATTTTTTTTTTACATTTAAATTGACTTATTTTCATTTAATTTTAAATTTTTTATGAATTAATTATTTATTAGCTTTCCATCAACTCAGGAACCCCATTTTGAGAAACCCTGGCGTAGGGAAACATTTGATAAACACACGTTTGAATCATCTGCCGAATCATTCTCTGAATGAATTCCTGAATCAGCGTCTGACTCAATACCGCACTGCAGCTTATCATTGCTTTCAGAGTGTCGTCATCTCAAAATGAAGCTCGTTTTGTGTACTTAAGGTTCTTGAAACTTAAATCAGTGTAATACTGGACTGGTTGTTCATATGATGCAGTAATAGTCATCGGCAGATGTTATTTTTGAAAGCTATCTGAAGCATTTAGAGTTGGCGATTCACTGATTCGGACTGGAAGGTTATGGTTATTAGTGTTTGATTTAATGTCTTTGCTATATAGTAGTGTGCCAGACAGCAAACATCCTTTATGCATTTAAACGCCAAAGCTGTGATTTAGGACACTTTCCACAAGTGCACCATTGATGCATTACCGTAAACCCAATGCACTTGCATATTTTCACTGTCCTGTTAATATCCAAATGCTCCAAAAGTCATTCAGCATAGAGTAAAGCACTTACAACCACAGCTGAGCCGAGTGTCATAAAGTTATGTCATGCATGGAAAATTAAGAGTGTTTAGCTGACTTAGACATATTGTATAATCACATTACAACTACAAGACACGGCTTGCTCGACCTGACAGCTGTTAGTGTGTCTATAACAGAACCACTGGCAAGCACGAGTGAAGTAATGTGACCACTGGAAACATTCTGCATGAGTCTATTTCTGACATAATCATCGTTTTGCAGGCTATACTTAGACTCTGTGGGGTTTGTCCCTTTGTACACTGTATATGCCAGTTTACGGGTGACAATGAGCCAGTGCGCGTCTAACACGTCTTCCCATGTGTCACATGATCCTTAAGAAATCTTTCTGATATGCTGATTTATTATCAATGTTGGAAACATTTTTTTTTTTTTTTTTTGGAAACTGTGATACTTTGTTCAGGATTATTTAATTAATAAAGTTAAAAAGAACAGCATTTATTTAAAATAGAAATCTTTTCTAACAGTACAAGTCTTTATTATCACTTTGTATTAATTTAGCACATCCTTGTTGAATAAAAGCATTCATTTCTTGCAAAAAAAAAATAAATACTGACGCCAAACTTATGAACGGTTGTGCATATTGTTAAAAAGATTTCTATTTTGAATAAATGCTCTTCTTTTTAACCTTTTATAAATGCAGCCTTTTCTGAGCAGAAGAGACTTCTTTAAAAAACATCACAAATCTTACTGATCCCAAACTTTTGAACAGCAGTGCAGACAGGAATAAAACTTTAAAATTTAGTATAAGTTACTTTCTGGCTGGTTAGGAGAGAAAAAAAATTGTAATGTAATTTAAATCTACAGATGCACATACATAAAGTGCGATAACATTAACTCTTTAATGTGTATTGTGGATGTTTTCTGTATTACTAATACACAGTGTTGGGGAAAGTTACTTTTAAAAGTAATGCATTACAATGTTGCGTTACTCCATGAAAAAGTAACTAATTGTGTTACTTTTTATGGAAAGTAATGCATTGCGTTACTTTTAAGTTACTTTTTGTCACCTGTGCTTGGATTGCTTATTTATTTTTAATTACAAAAAAATATATATATTTCTGGCAATTGTAAAGGCCCTTTTACATCAAAAGTGATATTAATAATCCTCAGTCTGAAGCAAGCGTCTCTGCACTTACTCCTGATTTCTGTCACCATGGCAACACCAGAGCTGTCAGTCAATGCATGACACCAGAGCTGTCAATCAATAAATTGGGGGGAAAAAAAGTAACTTGCGTTACTTTACTAGTTACTTGAAACTGTAATCTGAAAAAAGTAATCTGATTACGTAACTCGCGTTACTTGTAACTGTTTGTGACACATACTTTTATATTTATAACACTGCTAATACAGCATAATATCTCCAGTGCATAAGAAACAACGTGTCACATGACGTCATTATGAGTCATAATGACAATCAAGGCAGCGCAGGCGCTTCAGGGGTTAAATCTGATCTGAGACGGAGATGAACGGCTTCTGTACAGGATCTCTGGCTCTTCTAGTCTCTCACCTCCTCTTTGCTCTTCCTCAGCGCTTTCTCCCGCTCGTACTGGGTGACGAGCTGCTCGTTGTCCTCCTTCAGCAGCTCCAGCTCCACCTCCTGCTCCTGGTTCTCCGCGAACACCGAGTCCAGGTTCTCCAGCACCGCCACGACCAGCGGCATGAGCTCCTTCACCACGTCCTCGTCGTATCTGCCGATCATCCGCTCGAACTCGCGGTAGATGGAGCTCGCCAAGCCGGACACCCGCTCGGACATCATCGCTGAAGAGCCCGGGTCCTCCAACTCCATTTCTCCTCGTTTGGTGATGTTTTCCGAGCTCCGTCCGCTACTTTAAGACGCTAACGGCGTGAGCTCTGTTTACTTCGCGACGTCTGCTGTTCGACTTACATTCACGAGGAACTTTTAGGAAACCGCTCCAACACCGAGAGAGACTAAACCTGCTCCGTTGCCGAGCTAACCGGTCCCGGTCCCTCGGGGACAGTTGTTTAACCGGATAATCTGCACTAAACAGCAGTGGTTAAGTACAGTCCCGACGGGAGACGCGACTAGTGGACCTGAGCGCAGGGTTGCCAGGTTTTCACAACAAAACCCGCCCGACTGCTCCGCAAAACTAGCCTAATCGCGTTCCGGGAGTAAAAATACATACGTAAAATACACGTTTTGGCTGGAATTCGACTTCGCACTCCAGGGGATAAATACCACGTTATTGGTGTCGCTTCAACCCGCGGCAGCAGCGTTAAAGTAGGCCGATTCCGCGCGGGAAAACCGCGGACCTGGCAACACTGCCTGACCGTCACGCGATGACGTCACGGCCCAGGAGCGCGGTGGGCGGGGCGACGGAGGAGAAGCGCTCGATGCTGTTTGTTGACACCCGTAAAACTTTTGCTGTCTGCTTTGTTTATTTGACTCTAGCAGTTTGCATTTAAATATTTGCATGTAAATAACTTCTTAATTGAAAATTATACGTGACTTCCTGCACGGGTCCAGAAGGAATCAACAAGTGACCACAGTTTCTATGAACTATTTTCACAAACTATATAGATAAATGGGAAAAAACGTATATATATTTGCGTTATGAATTTTTATAATATTTATTATTTATTTGTTTTTATTATTTTTATACTTATACACACACACTGCTGTTCTAAAGTTTGTCGTCTTGTCAGTAAGATTTGTAATGTTTTAGAAGTCTCTTGTTCATCAAGGTTGCATTTATTTGACCAAAAAAAAAAAAAACTGTAATATTGTGAAATATTATTGCAATTTAAAAAAAATTGTTTTCTATTTTAATATAATGTAAACTGTAATTTATTCCTGTGATGCTCAGCTGTATTTTCAGCATCATTACTCCAGTCTTCAGTGTCACATGATCTTCAGAAATCATTCTAATATGCTGATTATTAGAAACATTTCTGATTATTATCAATGTTGAAAACAATATTTATGTGGAACCTGTCATACTTTTTTCAGGATTCTTTAATAAAATTAAAAAGAACAGCATTTATTTAAAATAGAACTCTTTTCTAACAATACATATATATACAATTTAATTTTTTTTTACTATTGAATTAATTACACAATGTGGCGATTAATTAATCCAATTAATTGCACATCAAATCCGGCCGAGAAATTACCCCCAAAAGATCATTTAAATTCATTATTGTGTTAAATGAGAAAATAATCAAAGACATTACAAAAAGTAGCTTTAAAAATAAATATTTTCATTTCTGGGTGAGCTATCCCTTTGAAATTTTTATTTCCATCCTTTTTTTAAATTTTGAAATATGAAATTTGTTTATAATGAAATCATACTCTAAATAAGAAACTAAAACTGACAGTATGTGGCAGTAAATTAATGTGTTAAATAGACAAACTTTATGTATATATATATATATATATGCGTGTGTGTATGTGTGTGCGTGTGAATGTGTGTGCGTGTGTGTTTGTATGTGTGTGTGTGACAGTGTGTGCGTGTGTTTGAGTGCGTGCGTGCGTGTGTGTGTGCATGTGTGACAGTGTGTGTGTGCGTGTGTTTGAGTGCGTGCGTGCGTGTGTGTGTGACAGCGTGTGCGTGTGTGACAGTGTGTGTGTGCGTGC